ATTATCACGACCCGCCAAACTCCAATAGATAATTGAAGTATAGTGTCGTTATTGCTGGTTATCTATAGCCAGATACGCACATTACAAGGAGAAGTTTTCAAGATTGTATCATACCGCGAGGTTTACGATAACCAGTTGCTCAGCAACACGTATTTAGACTCAGTAGCGCGCTCGGTGAGCCACTACTTTCCAAATCTAATCGATCAAACCACGATGTTTTCGTTGGCACCGCACGATTCACGTTAAAAGCAGAAAGGTTGCAATAATGATGACACGCTTTGAAGCATCATCACAGTAGACGTCTGCACAATCGATGCCATTCTACTATTTACCTCGCCATGTATCAAGGGTTAAGTCTGAGACCATCTTTACTGCTGCTACTGCTGGTCTTCGGACTTGCAATGATTGACCACGTCGAAGCAGGCGCAGTTTCACAAGACTCTGCTGCATCGGACGCAGCCATCGACAACCGCTACGTCACCGGACTGCTTGTTGTTCTCGGCGTCGGGCTCCTCGCGCTTCTTGGCTATCTCGCACTGCAGGTTCTACGTCGACGTTCAATTCTTCCATGCTTCAACAACAATGGATACCATAAAAGTTCGACGCCCACAGTATACTGGGCTACATGAACACCGCTATCCATAAATGTAAAGAGTTTGACTTTAGCCGAGGTAATACAAAACAGCCTCCATTGCTACCAAAACATCGTCGCTTTGCACTGTCTACAGCTCGTCCTTCATGATCTTGCGTAGTTCGTAGGAGATGTGGATGGCACTCGGACGCTGTGCAGGGTCGAACGACAGACATGCGCGTGCCAACTTGACGATGGACGGCGGACACGAGTCGCTGAAGCTCGGCTGCAATTTACCGGCCGACACGAGCTGCAAGATGGTGACATCCTGCATCTTGCCGCCGTTCGTGTTGGTGGCGTCGTAGAACGGAGCCTTGCACGTGTCCAGCTCGGACAGCACCACTCCGAACGAGTAAATATCCGCGAATTCAGTGTAATGTCCGCCCAGAATCACCTCGGGCGCGATCCAGCGAGCCGTACCCACACCTGCCGTCATAGTCTCGTCAAAGCTGCGGTTACGCGAGATACCGAAATCGCTCAACTTGGCGCCAGTCTGCGCGTCAATCAGCACGTTACGAGACTTCAAGTCACGGTGGATCAGCTTGGGGTTCAGAGTGTGGAGGTACACGAGCGCATCGGCGATATCGATGGCGATCTGGCACTTGAGATTGGCCCACGTCAATGAACTGGCACGACTGGAGTCCAGTAGCGACTTGAGGTCTCCGCAGTCCATGAACTCCGTCACAGCTTGGATTGTCAGGGCATTCGTCCATGACACACCGATAAAATGCACGATCTTGGGGTGATCCAGACGCGCCATGGTCTTGATTTCCGTCGCGAACGCCAGTGCGTCCTGCATCGACTTTTTGTCATTCAACAATCTCTTGATAGCCACGTTCTCGTTCATGTACAGACCCAGCCACACTTCACCGAATCCACCGCGAGACAGCAGCTTCACAGCCTCCACGTCGCGGTGTTCGATACGTGCAGCCAACAGGTCCGGATCGTCCCAAATCGACGAGCCGAACGTCGTGTCACCCCCTGTGAGACTCGAGCCAATGTCCGTGCCGAAAATGGTCGAGCCACCCTTGGTAGAGCCAAACTGGCCACCGTGTTTCTTGCGGTACCATAGGAAGGCGATGATAGCCAGCA